TCAGACTCGATAAAATGTCCGACACCGGCTAAACGAACGAAATTGTGGGTGTCGGTCCGCAGGGACTGACGCCGTCTCGGACGTGTTAATTAGCTCGTGCTAACTTCCACTTCATTCGTAGAAAACTGTTCGAGCCAAAGGAACGATCGAAAGATCAGTGTTTCACGGCTTTGGCCGATTACATTTCACGTTCTGAACCATCGAACAACAGACGCACGCGTTATTATTTACAGGAGGGATCGGACGAATCGTGGAATTTTCGGATCAGAAACGACGGATCCTCTCGGCCGCCCTCGTTCGATTCTAAACGGATACAAAGCGCCCAGAGGTCCTTCGAAAGATCGGGATGATATTCTTTCTCGCGAAGTCCTCGTAGTTGGTCGGATAACGACGCACGACTTGTTCATACCGATCGATAATAACAATAACGATCGGAAGCTGATCGTCCCGTAGTTAAGTGATTAGCAACGAGAACGCGAATCGCACGCGTTGTTCTCTCTCACTAAACACACGCAAGCGGCTACACGGATCTCTTTATACAAAAATATCCGCAAAAATACAATATTCTTTTTTTTTTCCTTTTTTTTTATCTACAGAATCGATCGTCGACTATCTAAACTCACCTATAAAAAAAAACATACGCAGGAGGAGCACGTGCGCAGAGAGATATCCCCGATATTCTTCCACCGTGCTTCGACGCGTGTGCTTCCAAAAAAAAAAGAAAAACGCAAAGCGCGCGTGTTTCGCAGATCGTTGCGATGTCCTATTAGGCCGAGCGACGCGCGCGGTGGAAGAGAAGGGATAAAGGAGAGAGGAGAAGACGAGCGAACACTCGCTCGAAGTCGCGGCGAAGCTCGGGCGACGAGTCGAGATCGCGGGAACTTTCAGTGCCGCGTTCCAAATCGTCTCGCGTTACTCGTCTGCTCTCTTCCTCTCGAGAGGTAGGGTTTTCCTTCGGGAAGGTCCAACTCCCGAGTCCATCGTCAGCCTTGGTTTTTCACTACTTATATAGATAGAGTCGCTCTGTCGTTTGGAGGAGGAGTCGTCATCGCGCCGTCACCGTGCCACCGTGCCACCGTGTCACCTTCCCCGCGAACGAAGAGCACGCGCGCGATCGACTTTTCCTCGCTGAACGGAAAACCGAAAAACCGACGGAACGTGCGCGAAACGTTCGAAATATTCGAGTCGGAACTCGTGTTCTCTGCGCAATCGAGATTGTTGGTTACCTACCTACCTTCTCTGGCCTCTGGCGAGGTAAACTGAAAGCGACGATCTTCACTGGCCGATTCGCGACCAACAACAAACGGTGTTCCTGGTTCCCAGATGAGACGTTTCCTCTCTGCGTCTTCCTTCTATCCTACCTGGTGCTCTTCTCGTCGCTTTAAATGAATCGGCTTTCTAGAAGAGCAACGGTCGTCAATCGTTGTTCATGTCCCTCAGCTCGGTATAGGCGATCCTCTTCCGGTAAAGATTCCCACTCGGCGAGATCACTTTCCTCTTGTTCGGCATCGTCGACGGTCCAGGAACGTAGTAGTGCCGCCTCTTGTACACCACCATTCTGTAAAACCGTAGATTCGATTAGATATCCGTTGGTCCGTTTCCTAACTCGGTCGATTTCCTCGGTGAAATATTGTTTGAAATTCGTCCGCCGTTTGCCATCGACTTTGTCCAGGGACGTTGCGCAACGTTACGTTCTACTCGAGAGAAAGAAGCGTTGAACATTGAACAATCGATAAACCCGTCGGTGTGTACCTTTCATGTCAATTTTGTGAGAACTTGTTTATCACGCCTTTCTGTTACACGTGTGTATGTAAGGTGAAACAAAAGTATCGATACGTATCTAAAGTTTCATTACGACTTGCAACAATATCATTTCGAAACGTAACGCGCAGATTGATGTGAGTTACGGGACAACATTTTTGCTGTACGAGCAAAAATCTTTCAATTTAGTAAAAACGTCAGGATTAAATTAATTGAAGGTTCGACAATTAATTGATTTCACTTATT